GGGGGGGGGGGCAGCAACCTGCTCCCCCCTGGAGAGGGCTCATTAGATTTTGGTCAGGATTGCTTTGTCCTCCCTTGCCATCTCTCTCCTCTCAGCCTTCTCAAAGGACAGGGAGAAGGTGAGAGGGAAACGGGGAGCAGCACTCCCAAGGCAACTCAGAGTAATCTGTTCAGCTATCTCTAGGCCTCTGCAGAATCAAGTGTATTCAAAGAAAGCATCATTACAGGAGAACTTCTTTTCATCCAAATCCAAGAAATTTGCAATACTTCCTTCTCCTACACTAGCTATTGGTATGTCCTCATAAGATGGGTCTCGGCTACCTCAGGGAGTCGCCCTAGCAGGGAACTGCTAATCAGCCAAGGCCAGGGTTTCAAAAAGCACTCTGCTCCCTATAGAGAGGCCAGAAGTGTTATGCAGCAGATGGCTATCCTCAGATATATTATTGAGGTGCCTGAATGGGAGGCCAACCAACCTGAAATATGGGCCCTGATCAGCTTTGTCTCCAGCCTGGGAAGCTACTGCATTTCCCCCCGTCCCGGTTAGCTGCAAACCACTCCCATGCCCTGAAATCAAGCAGGAGCAAGTACAAATCAGAATTTTTTTGTTCCTCATCTTTATTTTTTTTTCCCACAATAAACTGAATTGCAATCAATTCAATTGAGAAATCACAATAAAGCTAAAACAGTAAACCCATTTTTGTTTTACTCAACAATGCCATTGGTAGTCAACTGGTGAATACATTTTTTTACAGTACAGCCATTGCCAGCAAATACAATACAATAAGATAAAACAACAATTCACAATATGATCCCAAGGTCCCTTGAGTAATCCCTTGATAGTCCCCTCAGTATTATTACTATCAAGCAACTGCTGTTGTATAATAAGTATGAGTATTCCCTTTCTCCAATCACATGTAGTATGTCACTAGATGTGGGATGGATGGAGGGCTGCATGGTGGGAGGGAGGCAGCCAGCCAGCCAGGCAGCCTGGTTACTGGCCCTTCCTGGTTACTGGGCTTGTCCCAGCAGTGTTTTATTTTTGGTCTATATGGCATGCATGGCCAATGGGGGATGGGTGGAGTGGTTTTTGGAGAGCTGATGACTGCACGACTTTTATACTGTTATGGCATTACTGGAAAGTTGTAGGGTAGAGGGTTATCAGATGGAGGAAGTGCTAGTGCTCAGCCAGCATTTCTTGCAAGAAACAAGACTAAACAAACCAACTCTATAAAGACTTTAGCAATGCATTACACTGTTCTCCACCAGAGGCTGGTTAGGTAGGTGGGTGAGTGGGGGAGAGGGAAGGAGGGAGGCAGGCAGGCATCCTGAGCCCCTTCCTGGTTACTGAACATGTTGCAGCAGGAAGATGGCTGGGCAAAAGGGGGGGGCAGGCATGGTCCCAAAGGGGCCCCTTCAGGTGGGGACCCCCAGGCATGGTCCTGAAGGGGCCCCCTCAGGTGGAGATGCATGGCCTGAATCAGCTTGCTGCCTGCGTCAGCCATGCTAATATCCAGTACATAGTAACTTTCAAATTTTTGCTGGACACAATGCTTAGGGAGGAAGGAATGGGGGAGAGGGAGAAGGACTCAGGCAGGCAGGTGCTGTTTTATGGAGGTTTTACAATATTTTATATTGTAAAGGTGTGGGGGAGGAAAACCCTCCTTCTGTTATATTACTTTCTGTTAATCTTATTTATTTAAAATCTTCCTTCCTTCTACAAGTCAGAGAAGAAACTCAAGGAGACAGAAGCCTCAAGGAAACAAAGTGGTGGGTGGGTGGAAGTCACAAGACATGTTCCCCAGTCAGAATTTGTGGGGACATGGCTAGTAACCAGGAGGAGGCCAAGAAGACTATGAAATGGGCCTGCAGAATCATACCTGAGCTGATACTCAGGCCAAAGCCAGTAAAGAAAACTCAGCCTCCTTTTGTGGCCAGGAACCATTCGAAAGTTACAGGGTGCAATGGAGAGGTGTAAGGTAGAGGTAGGCAAGTGGGGTGAAGAGCCCACAGGTATGGGCCTACAACCGGGACCCTGGGAGGGAATTTGCTGGAGGTCTTGGTCAGCAACCAAGAAGAAAGCCTCCACATTTGTGGTGAGCAACAATCCTCTAATTTCAATTCCATAATACACTCATTAGCAAACAGGGCCAGCAACCAAGAGGAGGGCTATAATAATATGAAATGGATCTGTGGAACTTGTGCAACTCTTCTATACTCAAACTGAGACTCTGGCCAAAGTCTGTGAAGAAAGCCTCTACAATTCAAGTAGTACACAGAAGAGAAGCCTCAGCAGTACTTGTAGCCAGAAACCAGGAGGAGGGCAAGAATAATATAAAATGGACCTGCAGAACTTGTGCAATAATTCAAATAGAAGAGAAGCCCTAGAAGTACTCATGGCCATAAACAATTCAAATATTAAAGTGTGCAAAGGCAATTCATTATTCTTAATAATTCATAATTCTTAATAATGTCCGCATTTACTTTAGTACACATTCATTACGCATTTCTTTACGTGCTTATTTACAACAACAGTTGCTTGATAGTAGGCTAGTGAGGGGACTGTCACTCAATGAACATGAGTTCCTTCAATGATACGCTTTATACTGTGTAGTGTCCTATTGAAAATAGCCTCAGCTGCATTTGTGTCCTGGCCAGCAACAAAGAGGAAGGAGAGAAGAAAGCCTTGCCCTCCTCCTGGCATGGCATCAGGCTCAGAATTTGGTACTTTTCCACAAGCCAGAAGGCCCAGCCACAGGAATAGAGGGACCTAGGGAAGAGCTTGCTCATTATTATGGCTAGCAGCCAGGTGGGCATCCCCCCGCCTCCATGGGGAAGAGGCAGGGAGGGCAAATAATCACCTGCCTTATGTTCACTATCTGCTTTCTCATCATAAGGAATCGAACTGCAATTGCAAATCTATATAACATAAGTCTATATCGTATATATTGGCCATATATATATATGGTGGAGACCCAGGATGTGTGGTATGCATGCTGCAACAGGCAGCTGGGGGGGTGTAAAGGCAGACCTACCTGCTTTGAAATTCTGTGATAAGGAATTGAACAATTACAATTATTGACCATTAATAAATCATCATTAATATTAATATTATTACAAACACTTATTAATATATCACTATTGGAATTAATAGTATTATTGTCTCCTATTATTAGTATTACCTGTCATATTATAAGTCCATAAAGTCTATAGGATGAAAGCCAACTATAATTATAATGCATAATAGTTCAGCTGTTGAGAGAATCCTGAAGGAAGTGTTGTCATCCTCTTCATCTTCTCTTTCTTCCTTTCTTTTTTGCCTCTTGTCACACCAACAGGGATCAATCAGCCTGCAGCTAGCAGTGGAAGCGGATCTAAAAACCAGAGGGAGGGAAGGAGGACAGAAAGAGCATTGGCATTTGTATTGGTTCCTCTTGTGCACCTTGCATACCTTCTTTCATGCCCATAAAATTCCACCAGCCCCGTTTACAATACATTCCACCTAAACAATGCATCCCCCGCAACCGGAGATGACCCTATCAGGGTGCAGGGCAGTGGCGGATGGGGCGGCCACCCCAGGCACGGACACGAAGGGGGAGCCATCAGCTGGTCCAGGGTGTGCAGGATTGAGGGCGGCAGCACCCCAGTCTTGTCCCCCAGGCCCTGGAGACCCACAGTACACCACTGGTGCAGGGGCTTGGGCAAATTAACACCTCCCCACACAGTGCCAATCCAGTGTACTGCAGTGGTAGTGGGGGGCAAGGGGAGTTGGCAAGTGTCTTGATGCCACCCTGTGTACCTGTGTAAGAGAGATTGCCAATCCCTCCCCCCCAGTCCTATGCAGCAAGCGACAGAAAAAACGAACAGAGAAATGAATTCAAACAATGAACGAAATCAACCTTTGCAACCAAGCAGTGTAAGGGTGGATATGAAGGTAGACACATGAAGCCAGGGAACCATGAGTTTTTATTATTTGCAACACACTATGATAAGCAATTACTTGTGCTTCTTTGCCTTCACCCCACCATCACTCGGAACTGCCCCTGTCTCTCTGAAACACAATGGCACCCTGCTGGCAGTCGTATGGCCCTCCCGTGACCCACTGAGTTAGGGGGAACAGGCTTGGCTGTAATTTTCTGTTCTGGTTTTCCCTGCACAGAGGCAATCTGAGCAGACTGACTTTTCCTTTTCAGGCATGGTACCTGTTTATTTAAGAGGTAGTTCTGCACACTCTGAAAGGCATCACT